ATTTAATCAGAGGGAGAACACTTTTCTCCACGGAGCTGCCCATGTCTTTTCCTGCAGGAGAGATTGTGCCCCTGGTGTCCCAGTCAGCTCTGTTGGCTTTATCTGTTGGTTTTTTTTCTTTTTAAATCCCTCTGGTGTTGAACAGAGTCATTTGGAGTTATCAAAGCTACAGGGGAGGGAAAGAACTCAGCCGTAGCTCAGAGCTCCATCTCCACTGCAGAATTCCAGCAGAAAGGGTGGGGGAGTCTGTTCTTGCAGCTGAAACTCTCACCAGTGGCAACCTGAGAGACAGAAGATCTGCACAAAGTCAGTGATTTTGAGATGTTTTAAGTGTCTTTATACTGGCTGACAACAGCTGCCCTCAGAGAGGGAAGAATTTAGTAGAGGGACTTGTAAGGAAATTAGTCAAGAATGAGGTGGGACAAGAATTTAAAATATTCTTACTCTTTCAGCACATCTTGTGGCTGCCCAGGGAGGGGGACAGGGACTGTAAAACCTTGTGCTTGTGAAGCATTTCAGGACTCAGCCCCTTGGCAGCTGATGGATGAGCACAGGAAGGTTGCAAATGCAAGTTTTAAGGGCAGTGCCACCTCGAGGTTTTGTGGCTGTGTTTGGGTGTTCTGGGCTCTCCAGGCTCTCTCAGCTCCTTTGGGGAACAAAATCACTAAAGCAAAGCTCAGGGAAATGCTGGAATGCATGAGGGGAAGGATGCTCCAGGCAGGACTGTTAATACAGGTACAAAACACTGCTGGTTCTGTGTCTTTTCTCTGAACATTTCTGGTGCTGCTTTTTTTCCTCTGTGAACTGCCCGGCCCTGCAAATGCCTGGATGACATTTATGGCTCTGCCTCGTTTGGGGGCTGCTGTGAGACAGGGCTGTGTGACCAGGAGAGCAGATCCCGAGCAGTGGCAGCGCCCTGGGCGTGCTCCAGACCTTCCTCTCCATAGCCAATGATCCCTCCATCCACACACAGTCCCACCTGTTACCTTCAGAGAAAAAAAAAAAATAATAATTACGCTTTCAGGAGAAATCCCAAATCTCTTTTCCTTGTATCAGGCGGTTCCAGCTGGCGGCACCAGAGGGCGCTTCGCCTCTCCCTTGAGCCGGCCGGAATTCCCAGAATATCCCTTTTATTCCTGAATCCTTTTATTCCTGCACAGCTCGGCCTGTGCACGACACACAGCCCCCAGAGCATCCTAAATCCTGGATAAATCCTACAGGGAGTCCTGGTTTAAAGCTCAGGTCCTGCAGAGCAGTATCACGGTGTCTGGTCTCCTCGTGTCAAATCCCAGTACAAAGGAGCAGACAGGCATTCCAGGGGATCCAGGAGGATTTTTCCAGCCCAGCAACAAAGGGCACCCCTGTCAGGGCTCACTGATCTTGTACTTTGGTCTCCTGGCCAAGCCAAGCCACCCACTCACTCCTAAAGGGGCCGGTTTAAAATAAAACCCCTCTTCCCTTCCCTTCCCGGGGGATGTGGTTGCCATGCAGTACCCCAGAAAACAGAGGTCACTGATGATGTGTTTGATTACTCAACAGCAGGTGTGTGGCACCTCAGGCATGTCCAACCTTTCCTCCTCCTGCCAGCCCCTCTCCTCCCCAGAGCCTCAAAATCTTCAGACAGTTCCTCACCCAGAACTTCCCAAAAGAGCTTTCAGCCCCTCAACCTCTCCCACCCACGTGCCCTGCAGTGACCCAGTGGCTCAGGCAAACCTGTTTGAAGAGCTCAAGCTTGGAATACTTTGGATCTGCACCATCTCAGAGCTGGTTCTTCAGGGAAAAAAGATTTGTTCCAGTATCACCGAGCTAAATTTTGCACCCTCAAAAACGTGATTCTCCCCCATCTTGACTAACGGTGTCCAAAAGGGTTATTTTCCTCATTAAAATCTTCTTAGTTCAATGCACATGGATTTGCAGCAGTTCCCACTACACCACTATTTGAGGGAATGTTGTTTTCTCATCAGCATCCTGATCACAGAAAGCTTCTTTGAATAGTAATGGAAGTAAGGAAAAATGGGGGATTGTAGAACAGATCTGTAGCAACCTTGTTCATTCTTCACGTCAAACGTCCTTAGAATTTGGTTTTTCCCCCTCATTTTCACAGAAAGACCACGTGAAGAGAGGGCAGGTTATTCCGTCCCACCCCAAAGGACATGCCCAAGGCTGCCTTCCATCTCCTCCCCTCACTTGCTCCCTCAACTCCCCGGTATTTCCTTATTCCCATTTACCTGCATTTACACATTTACACATCCACAAGCAGAGTCTTCACCTCCAGTTCTTCATCCCCTGACAGGCCTCAAGGCTGGAAAAAGGTGGATTCTCACAGAATTCAACACAAGAGTCAGTTTGAAGGACCTTTGAACGCTTTTCATACATAAACTCACAACAATCTGCTACGAAATAAAGTCTGCCTGGTGGAGAGGAAAAGCACTCCCTGGTGTGTGCAGTCAGTGTTTGCTGGCCACGAACAGCAGGAACTGCTGTGGTACTGATTTCAAGGCTGGGAGATCATTATGGATACAGAGACACAATCAAAATGCTCAGCTGAAGGTGAATTAATTAGCCCAGTAATGGCTGATTCAGCTCTCAGCCCCATCTACTCCCCACCTGTAGCTGCTGGGGCAGCAAGGAGCAAGATTCCCAGTTTCTCCTGCATCATTCCCAGCAGGAACTGAAGCCCACAGGGCGCCAGGAGCCCAACTGCCAGTGCAGATGGCAGTGGAGGAGAAAGCATGATGAGAAACAAAGATATATGACAATAAAGGTTAAGGTACTTTTATTATAAAAGTCTATACAATGAGCACCAGACATAGCAATGCAATTATATCTGGTTTAGTTATATATATTTCATATCTATATATCCATATAGATATATAGGTTTTGCTTTTACCAAAGTAAAACTGTTATATCACAAAATGCCTAGTTCTACCATTTATTTATTGCTCAACAAGGATGGCACAAAACACACTCAGCATTAACTGTTGCCATGCTTATCTACTATACTGAACAAACAGCCAAACACTGCATAACAAACACAAAGCAGCTGTTAATTCTGAATTGGAACCAGTCTGATCACTCACTCACTTATAAAAATATTGGAATCATATAGATTTAAGCATTATAAAGGAGGAATATATTATTTAAAACATTTAAATAGTGCATATTGACATTTTGCATGTGGTATATAAAACACAAACATTCATGTACAACACTATACAGTACACATTAGTTTCAATGTTTGGATACACCCGTGTCTGCAGACTGAGAGAAAAGGAACTGAAGTGTACATTGCACAATGGAACTGAATAAAACTGGTAAATGGTCTCAAGACTAGTTTAACCTCATAATTCTCTAAGGTCCCAGATCACTTTGCAGGTTAAAAAAAAAAAAAAAAAAAAAAAAAAAAAAAAAAAAAAAAAAAAAAAAAAAAAAAAAAAAAAAAAAAAAAAAAAAAAAAAAAAAAAAAAAAAAAAAAAAAAAAAAAAAAAAAAAAAAAAAAAAAAAAAAAAAAAAAAAAAAAAAAAAAAAAAAAAAAAAAAAAAAAAAAAAAAAAAAAAAAAAAA